TGTCTACCCAGAAAGGCCTTGGTCACTGGGGCCATTATGCCAAGGACAGTAGTCCCGTGTCCTTGTGACCACGCTATATTGCACAGGAGTCTCTGGGGCAGATGTGGGATGCCCCAGTGGCTGGCCTTTCTGCACGTGGCTGCTGGGGGCCGGGCGCCTGGAGACCCCAGAACACTCAGAGATGGCGCGCTCTCCCAGCCGACGCAAGTGTGGGAGAAGGATGCTCGTGTTAGAATCTAGAGCTTTAATTGTGACTTTTAATGAGCAACTAAATATTCCTCGCTGTTGTACAGTTGCTGTTTGGTTTGGTTCTGTATTTTCCGGGTGATTGACGTGTCTTGACACGTACACTGAGTGACGCTATCTGCTTTTAAAGGCATAGAATCCTCTGATTGGCCTCATGAAGGAGTCCTGTTTCTTTTTCTTCTCCATCACCTCTACGCTTTCATCCAGGCAACTTCAGAATACTTCATCTTGTCTCCAGGAGCCATTTAAGTCTGGATGCAGGGCCCTGTGATGAGCTTACGTCCTTTCAGACCTGGGGTCTGCTGTTGGGACAAAAAGTCTTGGCTCCTGACAAGGTGCATTTTGGAAAATCATTCCCAGGATGGGCAAAGGTCCCATCCTTGCCCTTTATACATTGGCTGTTTGTGGTACTGTGACTTGTAAGAAATCTGTATCTGGTCTTGTTCCAGTTCCTGGTGGGGCTCCTGAAACCCCAGGAATTCCCCCGGGGGAGAGGACTGATAAAGGCAGCTTCTGTGACACAAAGCCAGCACCTTAGGACCACACCTGAGTGACTTAATGAGCTGGCTCTGGGAAAACCCGCAGGATGGGGGACCAGTGGGGGAGGGGAGGTGGAGTCTGGCCTCTCCAGGAGCCAGAGGTGCTGGAGGCTTAACCGGTCTCCACCAACGATCTCATGGAATGTTACCTGGCCCACCCAACTGACCTGCCCGTGGAGCTCGTCCGCCCAGCTTGCCTGCTCGGACGGCTGGATGCCCGGGGTCCCGTCTCGTTGCCAGATCCTGTCCCATCAAGATGTGCAGACTCACTTGGCGTGCCTTTGCATGTTCCTGAGAAATTCAGATGCAGTCCGATTCACGTGTGGTTTGGGAGCTCAGGGCTGCTGGGCATCAGCTGTTTGAATAGGGAACCAGATCATTCTGATTCAAGCTGCGTGCTGTCTGAAATACCAGACCTCTCTGTAGGGGAGGGGGGTCTGGCCCCTTAGTGAGTGCCTCTGTATTAGGAAATGCAGACAGAAGACAGAAGTTTCTTCCTAAAGTCAAGACGCATAAAGTGACTTTTATCATCTCATTATTTAGTGTGTTTTATTTTTTTAAAACAAGATTTTATATATTTGAGAGAGTAAGAGAGAGAGAGAGAGAGCACAAGAGGCGGGAGAGGTGAGAAGGAGGAGCTTCCCCACTGAGCAGGGAGCTTGATGTGAGACTCGATCCCAGGACCCCAGGATCATGACCTGAGCCTGAGCCCTCGGCAGACTCTTAACCTACTGAGCCACCTGGGTGTCTGCTTGGTACATTTTGGATCCCATCAGTCCCCAGGTCTGTCTGCTGCCGTTCCTGCAGGTGCCGTGGACAGGATCTTCAGTGGCGAGAAGGGCACCCTGGGAGCTCACAGAGTAGGCTCTGGTTTGAGAAGACGTGATGTCACATTTCTTGTGCCCAGAGCTCCAGGGCAGGGGCTCCCAGGACGATTCCCTGGTGTTTCCATGGCCCCCGGCAGGGGAAGGCCTGTGCACCCAGCACAGCAGGGAAGCAGCCACCAGGCTTGCCATCCGATGCCCGGCAGCCTGGAATCAGTGTGGAGCTCACACACTGCAGGTTCAGGGACACCAACCCTACCTTGTTTATTTTTCCCCAATCTAGAGTGTCCTCCTACCAAGGGCGACGTCACTGTCTTTGATCTTAGCTTTGAGAATCATTTCGTGGTTCCTCCAGCAGATACCTCACTGTCCACTCTGGGCCCGGCCCAGACGGAGCAGAGAACAAAAGGGCACAGATCCCGGCCCAAGACCCACACGCTGGCAGATGGGGGCGACGGGGGGAGAGGGGGCTCCTGGAGCCTGGGGAGTGGTAGGTGAGTTAAGAGAAAGTGTTTGAAGGAAGGCAACATGGGTCAGCCCCAGCCCTGCCGGCGTGGCCGGGCAGGGCCCCCCTCAGCACCTGATTGTCCCGTCTGTGAAGTGGGGGTCATGGTGGTGCTGTCGTGGGAGTTAAACAGGCTCGTGTCTCTGAAGCCCTGTAAGGAGCCCCTGGCACATTGTACATGCTGTTCGCAGTCCGCTGTTACCGCCGGAGGTGCTGAGCAGCATGGGAGTGGAGGGAGGGGGTGCCCGCGGGCTGGGATACACTCGGAAGGGGGCACTGGAGGGAGAGCACGGGTACCCTGCAAGGGCCGTCTACACTGGCACAGACCATGCAGTGGGGGCGAGGTGAGGCCCCCGCCAAGCGTCTGCACTGTCCAGGGAACAGCTTGGCAGGCAGCATGGCGGAGGCAGAGTGAAGTCGGGGCACCATGGACTGGGCAGTCGAGCCGAGGGAGGGCAGGGGAGTGGCCGGTGGGTGGAGTGGACCCAGGGAGGAAGGAGGGACCCTGGCTGGGCAAGGCAGGCGACGGTCATGCCGTGGGCAGAGATGGTGAGAAGTGGGTGGGCAGTGAGTACAGCCTGGAGGAGGGGGCGGCACACTTTCCTGATGGGCTGGATGTGGGGCAGGAGGGAGAAGAGCGCGGACGGTGTCACCAAGCTGTCGGGCCTGAGCCAATGTGGTAGAGCCCCCGTTAGGGGATTGGAACGTCTGTGAACACGGCAGGTCTGGGGGTGCCAGGAGTTCCATCCCGGACATGGCAGGCTTGAGATGGAGTGTTCCCTGGGGTTGCTGTGGTGACGGGCAGACCCAGTGGTCTAACAGCAGAGATGTCCTCTCTCACAGTCCAGAGGCCAGGAGTCTGATGTCAAGGGGGCTGCAGGGCCGAGCTCCCGCTGGGACCCCGGGGAAAGTCCGTTCTTGGGTCTCCTGGTCCTGGTGGTGGCGGCCGGTCTTCAGAGCACCGTGGCCTGTGTCTGACTCTGTCACATGGCCTTCTCCTGGTGTGTCTGTGTCTTCTCGTGGTGTTTTCCTCATGAAGGACACCAGTCCGGTTGGATGAGGGGTCTTGCCTTAACTCGATGACATCTGCCAAGACCCTGTTTCCAAGTCAGGCCACATCCACAGGTCCCAGGGTGTTAGGATTTTAGTGTGTCTTCTTGGGGGACATGGTTCAACCCCTAATGGACAGCTGTTGGACATCCCAAGTGGAGGCATTGAGTAGGGAAGTCCTGGAACTCAGGGGCAGCCTAGGTGGGAGACACAGGGCGTCACGGACAGGTGGAGGGCCCTGAAAGCCAGGCGACCCGGTGAGGTTGCCGCAGGGCTCGTGTGTGTGGTGCCCAGAGGTGGTTGCAGGGCCAACTGGTGGGAAACTCTAGTCCACGAAGGGGAGAAACCCCAGCAGTAGGCTGACGTGGGCAGTCAGAGATGTTGGAGGAACGCTGGCTGTGCCGCGTCCTGGAATCCACGTATTTCCAGAAGTTTCCAGAAGGACAGAGTGGCTGACCAGGGGACATCCTGCTGGGTGGGGAGGGGGTGGTCAAGTAAGAGAAGGAGTGAAAACACGGACTTTGGCAAAAACTGGGGATTTGACCAGAGTGTTGAGAGAATTCTAGGTAGAAACTTGCCCACCTGGATTTCCTCATCTACGGCTTTTTAAACTTGATTTCCAGCCTCTGGGATTTTATCTGCCTGTTCCATGTTTACTTCCGTGAAACGTTTCCTTGTGTGTACCATGGGGTGTGCGTCTGGACTTGGGCTGATGCTGAGCGCCATACCCCCTGCCCCGAGACGTGGCTTATTGGGTGTGGGAGCGGGGCAATGCTTCACAGACGGTGCGGCTGCTTGGGGTCACTGGTCACAGGGAGCAGCGGGTCAAAGCCACAGGAGGTCCCTGTCCACACTCACTAGAATGACCATCAGGAAAACACCATGCCACACTGGCGGTGGATATGAAGAAAATGAAACAGAGGAACAAGGGACCCATTGCTTGTAGCGGTGTAACTTGGCATCTCTACTTTAGTGTATTAAAAATACACTTGCTCTATGACCCATCAAGTTGGAACCCGAGGTGTCTACCCAAAAACAATAGAAACAGATATCCACGGAGTGACGTCGATGAGAACGCCCGTTAGAAGCCAGAGGCTGGCCCCCCATCCTGTCCACATTGTTACTCCGATAGACTGTCCAGTCCCTGGCAATCGATTCAGAAAGTGCCTGCCTCTGAGAAACAGGAGGGGTGGCCTGGAAAGGGCACAGGAAGTGAGCTTTGGGGGATAATAGAAATGCCTGTCTCTTGCTTTGGGTATCATGTCAGAGCCCACCAGTAGAAAATCTAAGATCTTGCATTGTTATTGTATGTAAACTTGAAGTCATTAAAACCAAGAAGTGACCCATGTGATGGGTGTCCCGGGGGCTGTGTAGCAGTGATGAGGGAATGCCAGCTGCTGGGGGTGGGAGGAGGCTGGGGGAGCATCCTGGGCAGCGCCCCCCACCCCACCTCCCCCACCGCCATCAGGGCTTCCATGGAGATTGGAAAGACAGGGAAACAGAGCTGACCTACAGCCCAGGGTGGGACCTGGCTCTGCCTCGTCGTGAGTGCTAGTGGCTTAAAAAGGAAATCTCCGTTATTTTGCTGAATTGAGCTTCTTGTAAGGCCTCTTGTGTATCCAAAGCAAAACGGATCCCCCTGCTGCTGTAAGCTTCTTAACGGACTGTGTTCAGATTTCAGTTTCAAAGCAGCTTTAAAAAAAATATGTCTAATCAGTACAAATCTTTTCCAAGTAATACGTTGCTCTCGCTGCTTCGTTTTTGCAAGAATTATTCAACAGTGTTGCCTTGTTCAAGTAACCTGATAGTGTCTATTTTTTCCCTTACAAATAAAAGCTGCAGATTCTCGTTGACACTGGAAGCAGCAACTTTGCCGTGGCAGGTGCCCCGCACTCTTACGTAGACTCGTACTTTGATGCGGAGAGGTGAGTGATGGGGGCGTGGCCGGGCACGGCAGGGTTTCGGGACTCCTCACCCATGCTTGACAATACACTGGAACAGGAGAAGCCAAAGCTCTATCATTTTAAGGGGGGGTCTGTGTCTGTGTATATGTGTGTGTCTGTGTAGCTGTCTGTGCCTAGGGTTGTGTGTACTTGTGTATGTGTAGAGATCTGTTTGGAGGTATATATGATTGTGTGCATATTTGTGTGTGTGTTTTTGTGTAGACATCTGTGCATAGCTGTGTATTGTGTATATGTGTATATTTGTATGTATGTGTAGGTATTTGCATGTGTTTGTGGTTGCATATGTGTTTGTGTATGTGTATATATCTATGTGTATGTGTAGACATCTGTGTTTATGTGGTTGTGCGTCTGTATTTGTATAGATATTTACATTTGTGTATATGGTTGTGTGTATATTTGTGTGTATGCATATATGATTGTGTATATGGTAGATATCTGTGTATGTGTATACGGTTATCTGTATATTCGTGTGTATGTATGTATGGTTGTATATCTCTGTAGGTATATGATTGTGTATATGGTAGATATCTGCATATGTGTATATGGTTGTGTATATTTGTGGGTATGTGCGTATGGTTGTATATCTCTCTCTGTAAGTATATGTGTATATGGGTAGATATCTGCATATGTGTATATGGTTGTGTGTCTGTGTAGACATCTATGTATATGGAGATACCTGTGCCTGTAGATGATCATGTGTGTATTTGCGTGTATATCTATATTAATATGTATGTGTAGCTAATTTGCGTACGTAAATATGGTTGTGTGCATATTTCTGTGTGTAGACATCTGTGTATATGCGATACCTGTATGTATGGTGGTGTGTCTCTGTGAATGTGTGTATGTTTGTGTATATCTGTAGCTGTGTGTGTGTGTGTGTGCGCGTGGCTGTGTGTTTTTCTGTGACTGATGGATCTGTCCGGGTGCCTGTGTGTGCATCTGTATGGGTTCCTTCTGGGGGAGTCCGTGGGAGGATTCTCCTAATAGCTGTGGTGCGTGCTCCTGACCTTTACTTCTTGAAAATTCGAGCCAGCTGGACATTGTGTGGTTCACCCGACCGCAGAGAGCACACCAGCCTTTCATGGTCATTGAGGCCTCCAGTCATAAGCGGCGGAGCGCTGGAGTGGGGAGACAGGCATTTGGTGGAAGCGTGAGGCTGTTCTGGGCAGTGGCCTGGGTTCTTCGAAGCTCAGTCATGGTCAAGGCGTGGTTCATTAAAACCACTTCCATGCGAGGAGGGTTTTTGGTGCCGGGAATCTGTGGCTTGCGTAGGAAGGCACACAGGGCCTAGGACCGGGCTCCAGGCCTCTGTTACAGGGCGAGGCTATGAGGCCGGAGTGGAGCCTGGACAGTCTCTGTGTGCTCTGGGCCTCAGAGAGCCCGAGGTGAGACCCGGCCTCCAGGCCCTCGTGGCGGCGTTCAGCTCCCGGGGAGCCCGTGGAGCCAGAAACAGTACCTTCTGGATACACGTGGTGATTTCATATCCATGCTTATGACCGGAAAGTTGAAACTCAGATAAAACGAATAAGCCGACACGTGGCTTGCTGTCCAGGGTCGTGAGCTGTTGCCTGACCCAGAGCGGCCCCATTAAACTCCCTGCTCACTTGCCTCATCCACAGTCTCTGTTCCAACAAACCCCAGCTCCCCCAGCTGGGGGAGAATAATGGCTGGGAAGCTTCTGGAAATAGCAGGCAACTTTCCCAAGGCAGGCTAGCTGACCCTGTGCAGAAGTGCCCGTCTGTCTTTTCCTGGGAATGTGTCTTGGTCTCCCTTTTGGTAGGGCAAGAGGTGTGGTCTTCTGTGCGTGCAGCTGGAGGATGGTGGGAGCAGGTGCGAGACAGGCCTCCTGGGGCCCCCACACCCCCGGCTGCCCCTCCTCCAAGAGCCTGTAGCTTAGTGTATGACTCAGTGTATTGATAAGATAATAATGCCATCGTTGACATTCTGGGTGAACTTCCCATCCAGGGACATGTACAGCGGGGGCACGGCTATTCCCTGTGTGTGCAGGAGGTGAGGGGCTACTCTCTGCCCCTCCCCGCTCTGATGGGTGGTCAGCCCATGTCCTCCGCCCCCGACAGTCCCCCATCCCCAAGCTGCTTGCTCTGGACTACTTTGTCATGGAGCAGAACTTCGAGCTGGTCCTGACCTTGATTTTACTCGTGTAGCACGGGAGGTCCAAGAGGCCAGGAAGCTTCTCCACATTCCAGCTTCTAGGTCTGCATTCGCAGACCGTCAGCCCCAGAACGCTGTTTTTCGAGCCAGTACTCTGTAATGCCCCGAATGGAAAGCAAAGGTCATACCTACCACTTGCCTCCTACCTAAGTCTAGATGCCCTGCTGTCACCCTGGGGAGAACGTAGAGAACGGTAGTCAGTACCGTGATACGGGCACACTCTGGGTCAACAGTGGGGGGTTGTGAGTGTCCCCAGGACCTTGCAGCACCTGGTGCAGACTGATACAAGGGGGTCGAAGTAGACTCAGACCCCCTAGAGCTGCTTGGGTTGGGGACAAGATTTCCAAATAGATGAAGGATCTTGGTAAAGTTTCCCCCCAAGTGTACCACCTTCCCCCAATTTAGTTGCATTTCTGGAAAATGCAGTGTGTTCAAAGTACGTAAAAAGTGTTACTTCGGTGGCAAAGCAGTCCTAGCCCTCCGTCTTTTCCATTGTAGGGCCATGGGCCCCACATGTCTCCAATGTCCCAACACCTACCGTGGGGCTCGGAACACACATGCTTGGAGCTCGGCTGTAACTTTAGTGGCTTTTCCTCGTAGTTCTGCCTTTCATCGCGGATCTGCAGACACACGAGACAGAGTGAAGCCAAAGCTGGGGAGAAGTGTATAGTCACATTCGGTTCAAGTGTGTGGATTTACCCACGGGCTGAGTATTTCCTTCCCAGTGCACAAGCAGCATTTCCTTGGCAGACACCCTCAGCCAGGGGTTGAGAGGGGCTGAACAGCACTTTGCAAGCCAGTCACCCATTTGCCGTGCAGATGTGGTTACTGAAGCATTTGAGGGTGAGTCATAGCATTACAAATGCTGTGTACGATGGCAGTGAAGATGTACTGTATTTGAGGGACTGTAGGCTCCCAGTGTCTTGTTTACCTCCTACTCTGTTCACGGTTTGGTTGAACAGTGGTTCTCTTTCAGGCTTCAGTAGGACAGGTCTTTTTTTTTTTTTTTTTTTTTTGACTCCCCACTGACTGAACGGGGAGCCCGATGCGGGGTTTGATCCGAGGACCCTGAGATTGTGACCTGAGCCAAAATCAAGTGTCGGATGCCCAACCTACTGAGTCACCCAGACGCCCCAGGACATGTCTTTCTAACTTACCTGCTTACCTTGCTGGCTGGGTTTGTGGTCGGGTGGCAGTTCCTGTTTTTTATCCTTAAACATGGAGCCTGGTTTAATGTGAAAACTCGTGGGACTGTCCGTGGCTCCCACGATGGTGAAGCCTTCCTTTCTTCTAATTCTGTAAGAAAGCCGAGGGATCCCTGCCAGCTTTCTGAGCACTCAGGGTTCTCTTGGGTGCCCCGTGGTGAGCAAATAGAGATATAACAGAACTGACCGGAGGGCAGGGGCTGCCCCAGGCTCTGTCACCCAGACATCAGCCCACCTTCTTTGTTCCCAGGTGTTGCTGAAAGGTCTTTAGGACCGGTAAGATGCCACCCACATTTTGGACCCCTGGCCTTCTTTTTAAGAGAACTATTCTTACCACAGGCTTGTCAGGTTTCTTAGCTGAATCAGATGGGAAGCGTCGCATTGCTGAGTTTGCAGCAGGTTCTGTCCCATCAGCCGTGTCCCTACAAAGAGGGGGTGCTTTGCAGATTAGGTACCTGCTCAGATTTGTGTTAACTTTTTTTTCTCTCCCTTCCTCTGTTTTTATATCCCATGCTTCTCACACACTTCTGTTTGACTCAAATTTATTTATTTATTTAAAAAAGATTGTTCATTTGAGAGAGAGCTTGTGTGCCTGAGCAGGGGGAGGGGCAGAGGGAAAGAGAGAAGTAGACTCCTCACTGAGCAGGGAGCCTGACTTGGGACTCAGTCCCAGGACCCTGGCATCATGACCTGAGCCCAAGGCAGACGGTTCACCGACTGAGCCACTGGGGCGCCCCAAACATGGATCTAATATTGTGAAGATAGCAACATTTTCTATAAAATGATGCATTACTGATTTGCGTATGGCTTCCAGCTGACTTTCTGATTGGCATAAGGTGTATGCTTTCCACAGTCGTATTTAATGGAAGCCAAGAGAACGTTCTCGCTTCCCATCTCCATTTCTGACGGAGGGTTCTTTTCTGAGATGCAGCTCCCTGCCCTGTGACGCTTCTGTGTTTGCTTGTCCCTCTGATCTTCCGGAGTTATAATAAGGTTTCTGGTTGGGTTTGTCAGCTCTGATTCCAGTCCCCCAGTCTTTGGATATTCAGGTTTTAATGCTTCCTGAAACATTTCCCAGTAATTGGAGATTTGACATGGGGCTCTTTGACGAGAGCTCTTTGATTTCTGGAACGAGCCGCCAGGCTACCGTTAATCCTTTGTGTGCCTTCCTCCCATCGGAGGCCCTCTTTTCATGGTGGTGAATGTTCCAGTGAGTTTCTTCATGGCAAAAAGAAGACTGTGTATTTCTTTAGATGTCCTTCTTTTTTAGCCAATAAAACAGCCTCCAGCCAATTGGCTTGATTAAAGATCTGGTATACTCATCCCCCGACCTTCTGATAGATTATCCGGAGAAATACTCCCGTCTGGGGTCAAGACACAAAGAGTAGTCGTGGAGAGGGGGCAGTTCGTTTCCTCAAATGATGCTTGTGAGTGGTGGTAGGATGTTAGGGAATTACCAGGTAGCCTCCTTAAGGGGGCCGAGCTGGGCGCGTCTGTCCTAGGGCCGATGGGCCCTATTTGTGCCTCACGGTCCAGATTGTTCCTCAAGCCCACATTTGCTTGTTTGCTTGTCCCGGAGTGGACGGCTGGTGCCCACGAGCATCGGTCACTGTTGGGCATGATGGCAACTCTCCAGGCTGGGCAGGCTGGTTGAGCAGCCACTGGGCCATCAGTGGCCCCATCCACTCTGGTCTGGTCACTTCCAGAACCTTCCAGAACCTTCCAGGGGCCAACGTGGGCCAGTCTGACAACCCTGCAGGTAGGTTCCAACCCGCCCCCCAAATGCAGAAGAGCCCCTGGGTGCATTCTTCACCAGACTCCTCATTCCCTGGGTGGGGGAGCAGACCCCAGGACTTTGAATTTTGCCCTCCCACCTGCTCTTTTCACATCCTCTGAAAACAATAGCGGGTTCCTTTTAGAATAAAATGTCTCTGGCTCTTTTCTCCCCCTGTTCATTGATTTCCCCTTTCAACACTCTTACCGGAGGCAGAATGCCTTCTGAACTTCGTTCGAAGTGATTTTGTTGCTGAGTGGACTTTGTCCTGGCTACCCGTGTCCCTGACTGATGGCTGTTCCTGAGAACCCAGAACCGGAGCCGCAGGATGAGCCAGTCTGGGGTTCCCTCAAGATAGTAATTAATGTGCAGAATGGTTGCGAGCCAAAGCATTTTAGTGCCAACAAATGGGATGTTAGAGTCATAAAGATGGAGGAATACTTTTTTTTTCCCAATTCAATGCGGGAAACTCTACATCGATAGCCCTCAGATTTACTTACGATTCATCACTGGGGTTTTTTGCCCTTGGAGGCTTAGTTCAAGGAGCTCAGAGAGGATGCACTTACTTTTTCTTTTGCCTTATTTAGAACTACACTTTCTACTAGGGTAGCCGCAATCACATGCGTATTTCAATTACCGAGCACTGGATGGAATAAGCCTACCTCTCCAGTCCCTGTACATTCATTCGTGTTTAGTGCTCAGGACGCCCCTGGTTACCATACTGGCTGGCATAGGATACGGGATATTTCCGTCAGGGCAGCCGGTTCTGTTGGACGGCACTGCTCTGGAAGGCCGGAGAACTCTGCCTTTAGAAATGGAGAGGGCCCCCACCCCCATGGCTCCCCTCCCCGACGGCCCCCCACCACCTTAACCAAGTTGTACAACAGACGAGCCCCTTCCCGTGGGGACAGTCGGACTTCCAGATGAGACTGTTTCTGGTTTTCAGTGCAAGTAACGCTGTAGGAGCATTTTCAGGGAATTAACATTTTTTTAAAGATTTATTTAAATTTTTTTTTTTTTTTTTGAGAGAGAGAGAGCATATATGTGAGCGGGGGGAGGGGCAGAAAGGGAGAGAGGATGCCAAGCAGACTCCCCGTGGAGTGCGGGGCCCCGCTCAGGGCTCCATCCCACAACCCTGAGATCACGACCTGAGCCGAGAGAGGCAGACGTTCAACCGACTGAGCCACCAGGCGCCCCAGGAAAAAAATTCTTGTGCTTTCAAGTAGTTGTTCACAGACGGAGAAAAGACAGCAAGTGTTCAGATAATTATAATAGTACCAGGTGTTTTTCTTGTGCACCTGCTCTGTGCCAGGGTTTGTTCTAAGTGCTTCCCAGAGTTCGCTCTCTTGGTCTTCAGAATTAACCCACGGGATGTGGTACCGCACGGTCTCCTTTTCCCGTTGAGGCCATAGAGGCACAGAGAGGTTAAGTAACCTGGGCTGGAGTCACACAGCTGAGCAGTGGAACTGGTGGTTGAACCCGAGCTGTGTAACATCAAGGGCCTCTTGTCTCTGTGAGTGGCATCAGAGTGTCCAGAGGGCTTGTCCCCATGAGGGGACAAGCAAGCTGGTCGGGGTAGTGTAGGAACCTCACGGTCCACACCTACGAGGCTGCTTCGGGCGCTTAGACATTAGCAGGTTCTAATGAGTGTTCTGTAGTCTGGGCAGAGTAAAAATAAAACAGCTTCTCCCAAGGAAGTCACGACACTTTAGGCTGTATCGGGGAGAGAACTAATCTCTGCAGTCAGGAGTTGGCAAACGAGGGCCCTCCGGCTACCCCCAGCCTGCTCCTTCTGTTAATAAAACTTTATTAGAATCCAGCAGCGTGCATTTGGTCAGTATCGTCGGTGGCTGCTTCCGCATTACACTTGCAGGGCTGGGGAGACGTAACAGAGATCATGGGACCCACAGAAGGTGGACGTTGTTTCCTCAGCCCTTGACGGAAAAAGCGTGCTGACCCTGGGCCAGATCCTGTTCTCTGCCCATTTCAGAACAGCCTTTTCTGTTAGCAGTGGTGTATTTGTACACACGAGGAATGACCCCCAGATGGTCCAAAGTCAGGATTTTCATTGCTGTTCACCATAAATGCAGATAGCCCCTGTCTCGCACCAGATACATTTGACTCGGTGCTGGCAGTCAACGTGGGATGACAGCGACCCTCCGGTCTCCTGTTTCCATGACCTGACTGCACTGCCTGTGGGACCTCTGATGGGCCGGCCCCCAGCACTCTGTGTGCCCAACCCGTCCCCTGTCACTCTCTGTCTGTGTCTACCCTTGCCAGGAGACACATGCATGCAAGGTGTTCCCCAATGCTGCTGTCTCTTTAAGATCGTGGCAGAGTGAAAGGCAGTAAATACTAAAATTAAGCAGTCTTCATATTTTGTATCGCATTATGAAGCTCGCATAAATCAAATTTCTCCAAAACGTGTGTGCCAGACGTTGGAAGAATCGCTTATTTGCTTTTTATTTTTTATTTTTTAATTTACTTTTTAAAAATCTTATTTATTTATTTGACAGACAAGAGTGCACAAGCATGGGGAGGGGCAGAGGGAGAGGGAGACACAGACTCCCTGCTGAGCAGGGGGCCCAATGTGGGACTCAATCCCAGGACCCTGAGATCATGACCTGAGCTGAAGGTAGATGCTTAACTGACTGAGTCACCCAGGCCCCCAAGAATCACTTTCCCCCCCTGATTATCAAAGCTATGTGTGCAGAAATTCTAGATAGGCCTAACCACAAGGGGAGTCTCCCTCCCAAATCCCACCCCCCCAGAGGGAACCACTGAGAGTTCTTTCACCTTATTTCTGCGTCCTTGAAAATGACTTTGTAAATAGCATTCTTTGGTGCTACATAATATTCCATCATTGAGGGGCACTATACTTTTACTGAATGGTTCCCTTTCTGCTGGGCATTTAGGTTGTTTTCAGCTGTTTGCTGTTTTCAAACATAATGACCGTCTTTGTCCCTGAATCTCCGTCTTGTATCTCTGGGTATTTCCTTAGGATCAGATGCTCAGAAATACCATTACTGAACTAAAGACTGTTAACATACTTAAAGCTTAAGAGATGTGCCCCCCAAAGAAGAGGTCAGACCATCTCTGACTTAACTGCGGTCTGGACCTCAGTCAAGACTGCAGTAGTTCGAACAGTCCTACAACACAGACTTGACGTTCAAAGGCTCAGTGTGAAAACAGTGAATGAAAACCTCAGGCAAACGGTAGCACTGGACAAGTGATCTGCTTGGTGAACTGATATCTCTCTGGGAATTTGGCAGTTTTCCTAGAGTGAGTGTGGTTGGAATGCTCAGATATTTGCCTAGAGACATTCTCTGGGTCCCGTCCTCTGATTCAGCAGAGTTTTCAAACTCAGATGGTGTAGGAATTACCTTACAAGTTTGGATACCCCAGGGCCTTGACACCTGCTGTCCTTCGTCCAGAGTGTCCTTCCCATGGGGCTCATTGTCTTCATGTGGGTCTCCCACAGAGGTGGCTGCACTGGAGAGGCCTGGGTGACCACCAAGTCAATGCCCTTACCCGTACCCACACTTTATTCCCTGGGGAGTCCTTCCACTTTACCACTGCCTAGAATGGAATTTTATGTATTTGTTTGTTTACTGTCTGTCTCTGAAAGTCCAAGGTCAGAATTCTCATCTGCCCTGCCTGTGGTCTGATCTCCACATGTCTCTGTTTAAGCAGGTCTTACCCATAGGGCCGTGTGCATGTAGGACTGCAGATGGTGTCACAGGGATTCATGTCCCTACAGGCCACTAGGCGCACCCCTTCCCCATATTTTGGGAGGAGTATGGCCCCGTGGCACAGCCTGGAGGAGGAGGCTGTGACATCAGGAGGAAATGTGGGCCCTGAGGAGGAAGGCGTGGGGGTGGTCTTTATTTGTCACATTGGCTGTGGGTGTGACGTCTAAACCTGAAGGTCCCTCCCTGTGTCATAGAGCAGCAGTGCGGGGCCCCTGCAAAGCCAGGGGCCCAGGCGGGTGCCCAGTTTGGGCCGTGCCTTCAAAGGCAGATGTGGTTAAGTAAGTTATGGGCCCCCCCCTTGGGTAAATGTTAAACTCGGGGCTCTGTGTCGACCCCAGAGCTGCCCGCACACTTGGCACGGAAACACCACCCAGATGTGAGTGAGGCTGGCTAGTGGAATTGCCTACTTTGTGAACAGAATCACCGTTAATGATGAAGAATTGCGTGTGGTCGCTTTCCTGTGCTCAGGAGAGTGGTCATGGCCACCGTGCCCGGCCGCCTCGTCCGAATGTGGCACGTGGATCCAGCCCCAGGCCTTGTGTCTTCCTTCTCCAGGTCGAGCACTTACCGCTCCAAGGGCTTCGATGTCACGGTGAAGTACACACAGGGAAGCTGGACGGGCTTCGTGGGGGAGGACGTCGTCACCATCCCGAAAGGCTTCAACAGCTCATTCCTCGTCAACATCGCCACTATCTTTGAGTCCGAGAATTTCTTTCTGCCTGGGATCAAGTGGAACGGAATCCTGGGACTCGCCTACGCTGCTCTGGCCAAGGTAAGGCTGGTCTGGGGGTCGAAGTAGGATCAAAGCTGGGATGAGTCGGGTGGGCGGCCGTTGGGGGGGTCCCAGCTGCTGGAGACAACGCTGGTCGCTGAGAGTCACGTGGTGGAGACCAACCGTGGTCACCCAGTTAATTACGTTTGTAGACATCTTTAAACTTTAAGGTAATGGTGCAATCCTTTGAACCTTCCTGCCACGATGTACCCATAGCATTAGTTTCACTTGTCTTTGTTTTTGCTTATTTTACTTCTGTAGTTTAAAAATGTGAACAGAATCCGAGTCACTAGAATTTTGGGGTCGGGGCATTTTTCTTGGAGGGAGGATTAAAAGAAAACACATTTATTAGATTCATACATTCTCACGAGGACGGAGGAGCCTGCGGCTGGCCCTGGGGCCTCGGCCAGGGAGACATCCCACCAGGGGGAGAGCATCGTGCTGCTCATCGTGCGGACACCCCAGAGGGGCCAGCGGAGCCCAGGGAGGGCCTGAAAGCACGTCCCAGAGATCGCAGGCCAGTGGCCCAGGAGGCCCCGAGGGGAACGTGTACAGCCCGTGCTCTCATCCACATCGGAACTTGCACAAAATGGGAAAGACAGGATCTGCAAACTTTTGGACTTGGCCAGCCCAAAGGGAGTGACGTTGGTGTGCCTGGGTGGGGAGGCAGGCTGGGGAGTCTCCCCCAAGAGGGGAACCGGGTCAAGCGGATGAAATACCAGGGCGTGTCCTGGAGTGGAGCAGAAAGCGGTCACCCCTCCTGGCCGTCCTGGGCCCCGCATCTTGCCCTCTGATTGGTCAGTGCTCAGCTTGCAGCCAGAGAAGTGTGGAACGCTCAGAAGCAGGTTGGAGGGGCTGCAGAGCCCGTCGTGGTCCAGGAGGATGCTCGAGGGAAAGCCTGTTTTCTCTCCCAAAGGGATGTTCATCCCGGCCTCAGCTCACTAGTAGTGGTGCATGGAGGGGTGAGGTGGAGAGTGGGTGGCAGGCAGGGGAGTTCCTGAGCCTGGGATTCTTTTCTTTTCTTTTTTCTTTTTTTTTTAAGATTTTATTTATTTATTTGACAGTGAGAGAGAGTATGAGTTGGGGAGAAGGTCAGAGGGAGAAACGGACTCCCCGCTGAGCTGGGAGCCTGATGCAGGATTCGATCCCGGGACTCTGGGATCATGACCTGAGCTGAAGGCAGTGGCTTAACCAGCTGAGCCACCCAGGCGTCCCCGAGCCTGGGACTCTTAAAGAGCAAGAGGCCTATGAGGCAGGCGGGCTGAGGACATCCCAGGACTTGGTTCCCTGGGTTCTGGTGACCTCTGTGGGTGGCCACGTTCTCCCATTTTACGGATGTGCAGACTGAGAGTAGGAGAGGTTTACCCTCCTCGCCCAGAGCCTAGGGGGGCTCTGGAGCCCCTTTCGTCTCAGTACCATAGGGTGAGCTTAATATGAACTGTGTAGACTCATTTTAATAACATACATTCCTCGGTACAAGTTCATAGACCGCGTGACCGAGGACAAAACATTGCTTTGTTACCTGGCTCAGACGGGGAAAGGTATGAGCATGGTTGGTTTCATGCTGATTCTCTGGGGAACACCAGAATAAAGCTGACTTGCCTGCAGTGGACAGTACTGACAATAAGCTTCCTCGCAAATAATGACTTCTGGGTCCCCAGGGGTGGCCGGGCTTGCCACACGACCTTCTTGTGTATGGAACTCTGAGATGAAGGCGATTGGCTTCCTGTCCCAGGTTTGAGGAGATGGTCACGGGATGGGTAGGACGTGGCGCGTGGCTGGAAGTGCGGCTTGGTGGGCCAGAGCTGCTGCTGAGATAGGTTGGCCGAGCCCTCAGTGGTGGCCACGGTGCGTGGTGACCCTAGTCAGTCATGATGCTTCCCGCCGAGGCTGTGCCTCAGACCCTGCCCTCCGGGGTCTCACACCACGGATGCCTGCGTCCAACTGCACGCCCCTGAGCTGGGCTCTCTCGGGTTGACCCTGGTACCTGTATGTTTTCAAACCTCAAGAGGGAACCTGAGGAATGACTGGGCAGAATCCTAATAGATCCCTTACTGCGGGCCAGGCACTGTTCCAAGGCTTTTGTGTGTATTGGCTCATCGAAGCCCCAGGAGCAGCTCCGGGAGGCTACTGTTTCCCCATTTCACAGATAAAGAAACAAAGGAACCAGTCACATGGGGAGCAGGTGGCTAAGCCAGAATTCAGTCCCAGGCTGTGTTGCCTTTGCTGCCTCCCACGCAGGTGGCCGGGAGGACGGCAGCCTGGGTCAGCAGCACGCCCAGCCCACTTCGTGTCCGTCATCCCCCGAGACGCCAACGCACACGTGGTGTGAGGCTATCATGCCCAGTCCTGCCAGAGAGGCCACAGAAGCCGGAGGAGGAGGCCAGACGCAACTGAGTTAAATAAATGAGAAGCGTTGTACTTGCTAATGGCTGTGCCCTTGCTCCCCCCGGAATTACAGTTTTCATTCTCACAGGCAGTAAGTGATAGTCCCGGTGTTGACTGCCAATGGTCCAAATCTGCCCGGCAACTGGGCCACTACAAGTCAGTTTCCATCAGGAACCAACATCTCTGAGTGATCCGTATCCCTGGTTGTCAAACCCAAAATCTATGCGCAGGTCCCTGACTGGTCCTCGGGACCAGCAGCCCTGGAGGCCCACCCCTAGTGTGGAGCTGTTCGCACACTGAGTTCTGGAGATATGGGGCGCCCTGAGTGAGTGCTGGCTCTGTGGAAGGAAGGCATAGGCCACTTAGGTCCACTGAACTATGGTAGCTGGGAATCTGGGGCTTTTCAAGCTCAGGGACGCAGGACTGTCCTTTCCTGCTGCTTTCCTGCTCCCCGGAGCTCAGCAGAGTCGAGGGTCTGAGAGGTCTCATGCTTAGCACCTGGCGTGTGGCAGACGACCGTGGCCTAGAGATGTGAAGCACGTTTTCTGAAGCCACAAAGGCCACTCCCAGAAGCGCTTCTCTCCTTGCTCAGACTGAGATGGGAGCCCACCAGCCCCGTTGGTGACCCACCTCCATGTCTCGTGCCTGCCTCACAGGGCGTCGTGGTGATAATGTGACGACGTACCAGCCGCTCTAGAAATAGTGTCTTAGGTTTGCGTCTCTGCCTTGCGCAGGGACCGTACAGATCTTCTCTGTCTCGTTCCAATTTTAGAAATACTATCTTATTTTTCCAACAGAGCCACACAGACAGGAAAACATTGCGTAGTAGGAAGGTCTGTTGCTGGTTTCCGAATTACTGCCCTTGAACAGATGGTTGTTGTTTCCCCATGAAAACAAATATGAAGAAAACCAGGTTTGGACCCCATGCCCCATGTCAACTTCGGCTTGGTCCTCATCTCCGCCATGAGTCATGGGGCTGCTGTCCTTGTGTCTCCTACAGCCGTCAAGTTCCCTGGAGACGTTCTTCGACTCCCTGGTGGCCCAAGCAAGGATCCCCAACGTCTTCTCCATGCAGATGTGTGGGGCGGGGCTGCCCGTGGCTGGATCTGGTACCAACGGAGGTAGTCTTGTGGGTATCTTTTAGTCCTCAAGGGGGGAAAAATATCACAAATGAATCGGGCAGCTTTTCTGTTTGTGAACACCCTGGTGGAAATGGTAGACACAGAAGTATCCATCAGTACTGTGGAATTTTGATCACCCTTCTTATAGAACCTTTAAAAAAAAATGGGTAAAATTCGATATTATTTTTATCTTTTCTAATTATCCTGCCAGCCAGAAGCTGATTCTCATTGCTTCCCCCAATTCTATGAAAGCTTTTTAAAATGATTTCCTAGAAAAATGTTGGCAGGTGGGAGAGGGGCGGGTGAGGACCGGTGGGGGGTGTGGCAGACCCAGGGTTGGTCCACTGGTTGAAGGAAAGACTGGTGATTTCCTAATTTGGTGCCAAGACAGGGACACCTGTATGTCCTTTCTCTGCACAAGTGCGTACACACGTACAGACACACAGCAGGAAGTTTTCTAGTGAAACACGAACAGATCAAGGCCACCAGCTCTGTGGATGTACTGAGGCGGAGTGTCCCTTCGATGGACCCTGCTTCCCCGCCCCGATGTCTCAAGCGAGAGGTGACAAGGACAGTGCACAAGAAGGGCGGGTGCTGACAACCCCCTAGTTGTCCTGCTGTGAGAAGCAGACACGCAGTTGCTTTCATTTGCTTACACTACACCCGATCTGAATATCTTACTATCCCCCTTTTCAGGATGGAGGACAGCCTAGGATATGTGGGGCGATGTTTTATAGTTTTGCAACATCAGATTTTGATTAGGGACGCTCCTTTGTCTGCCTTCCATGCAAACGTGTGAGACGGTTAAGTCCTCCTCTGTCTTCTGAGGAACTGAATTCTTGTCCGACAGTGTGGCTCACTGTTCGACCTCATTCGATGGGGGGTACATCTTGGTATGATAAGGCTAGAATTGGAGGGCCATCCTTTACAGAAGGGAGACCACCAGAGCATCTGGAATAGACGAGGGCACAAGACTATTTGACCTTTGGATGCATGGCCCCCAAATGTTCCCTGTTTAATTTCCAAGCATCTCTGTTTTGTAACATCATCGTAAGACGCGGATGGGGATTCTGATTGTATGCTTCTCTGTGTAACCTGTGGCTATGCCTCCATATTTTTTCTCTTATACCTATAAATGTTTCCCTTCTCAGGTCCTGGGTGGAATTGAGCCAAGCTTGTACAAAGGAGACATCTGGTATACCCCTATTAAGGAGGAGTGGTACTACCAGATAGAAATTCTCAAGCTGGAAATCGGAGGCCAGAGCCTGAATCTGGATTGCAGAGAGGTATCGTGATCTCTTTGTGTCACTTTAATACTGTAGCTGGGACCGGAATAGGAAATTAGAAGGTATGGGGGCACCTGGGTGGGGCAGTCACTTAAGTGTCTGGCTCTTGGTTTGGCGTAGGTCATGATCTCAGAACCCTGGGATGGAGCCCTAGGTTGGCTCTGTGTCCCGTGGGGAGTCAGCTTGGAGTCTCTTCAGGCTCTGCCCCTCCCCCAACCCCCGCCACAAGCGTGCACGCTCTCTCTTTCTCTAAAATAAATAAGTAAATCTTCAAAAAAAAAAAAAAAGAAAGAAAACTAGAAGGCACATTACAAGGTAAATCAAAGATTCATGCATTAAAAGTGATCGGGCCTGTTTGTATGATAATGAACTCCTCCCTCTAGAAGACCTGCTTCCTGCCAGTCACTCAGCTTCATAGGGGAAAAAAAAGCATGAACCGGCATGTCGGAAGAGCACTGTAGAGCCCCTTTCACGGTTCCCCTGGGCTTGATGGTTCAGGACTGTGTTTCAGAGGTTGGAAGAGCAGGTTTTTAATCTGTGCAAGGGAGAAAACGGGGGCTACAATGAAGCAAAATGAAACTCAAAAGAAACCATCCGCTTTGCCTCCTGGTCACCCTCCACCGCCGCTCCCTTCTCCCTCCAGGACAAGTCATGCTCTGCAGAGCAGCGTGTCCTGACCGTCCTCACGGGGGGGCAGACATGCAGAGTTGGGGTGCCACGTCCCGCAGGAACGCTGTGCACACCCTGTCTGCGCTGGGCGTACCTGGGGGCCGTAATGGCATCGTGAGGAGGACAGCTTGCGGCAGGCAGTCCCCCACAGTGCCTGCAGGCTGGGCATCTCATTTTGTGCCTCCCTGCCACCACCTCCTTTCTCACGCGCCCACCACGGTTCCCGCAGGCACAGATGCCTCTGAAACCCACCAGAGCTCAAGAGAGCAGTGCTTGCTCCTTCTAGGAGAGTCTCCAGTCCTGAGGCCACAGAGCTGGCTCTCTGGTCAGAGGCACTTCCTTACACTAAAGAATCCAGTGATCGACTCCACGGGGAGGGCTACAACGCAGTGCAGACTTCCATGTGCGCACGTGTGAGATCCTCTCTCTGAACGTGGCTGTGGTTCCATCCTAAATCCAGATATGGTGTGTCTGGCCATCCTAATCTTCTTTCTCCCTTTCTGGGATAATAGTTGCTTCTGTAGGATTTGCATAAATGGTAATTGACGTGTCATTTGAATCTGGAAAGACATAGGGGTCTGCCCCCTTTGCCCTTGGGAGCTCCTTGACAGGGAGAGGGTCGCCTGGGCACCTCCAGATGGGGCAGTTGTCTGTGAGGGGAGAGCTGTTGATTTTGGACACATCCCTTCCCTTTCCTGGTCTCCGTTTCCTTTTCTGGGAAGTGAGAATGTTGGGCTAGCGTCCAAGTTCCTAGACTGTGCCATGAGTAGAGTCACCGGTGAGGTCCCCCGGCTGCCGGAAGTTGTGTGTGGCGGACCCCCAGGGACAGCAAGCTAGAATCACATTGCCTAGAACTCATGCCCTCTCCCCACCAACCCGCCTCTATTCCAGTATAACGCAGACAAGGCCATCGTGGACAGCGGCACCACACTCTTGCGCCTGCCCCAGAAGGTGTTCAACGCGGTGGTTGAGGCAGTGGCCCGCACGTCTCTGGTGAGTCCTCGGGATTCTGATAAATCCCGGAAAGCCCCAGGTCATGACCACATACTGGGGGAAGCAGCACTCCTGTGTATGTATTCAGTAGTCTTCATCTGAGGGATTGTGGTTTTTTTTTTTTTAATTTTTCAACTATTACTTATTAAGTTCACAGTCTTACTCTTAACTAGCAAAGAATTTCTTCAGATTAACCTCAGGGGATTTGGATCTGAAGGTGCCGGGCTGTTGAGTATTTCAAATAATAGCAACCTGGATGGAGTACTTTGTTTTTCTTTCTTTTTTTTTTTTAAATAAGAAAAAGAGCCTCTTGGTAACCTTCTATATTAGAGGAAATAGTGAACCAGGAATATGTTCACAGCCTCTAAAACAAGACCTGTGAACCCCAAATCGTACTCTTTTTGGCCTTCATTCAGGCTGTACTGAGATTTGAATTCTTCTGTAAAAGAATGTGATTCACGGAAGGCAAAGGCCGATCAGCCCTTATAATAAATTTTAAAACCCTGCTCAAGAACAGCATGAATTTTGGAGACGCGGCTGACAGCATCCGGTATGGCCCCAGCTTTCCAGCTGGTTCCGGGCAGCAGGGTAGAGACCAAAGGGTAGACCGAAGGCACTGAGTGGGAAGAAAGAACAAGGCTGCAGGGGTCGGATGGACCCGAACGGAGGCTGGTTTCGGCTGCTCGCTAGCAGGGTGCCTGGGGCGGGATTTGGGCCCTCGGAGCCTCCACGTTCTCCTCGAGGGGCTGTCGGGGCTGCTGGAGTACAGTGCGCCCTGCGCGCGGGAGCTGTAGAACGAGAAGCGTCTGATGTCCCACCGGGCAGCTGCTCTTTGTTCGAACGTGAGACAGATGTTCTTCTCCCCTCCCTGTTGTCCTAAGCCTTCCTTTGTACAGCATCACCCTTGCAAGGTCAGCAAAAACCCGTGTCTCCTGTGCAAAGTCTTCATGCTGGTGCTAACACCAGCCTGACTCCCACGACTCCCCCGGCCGCATCCAAAGAATGATGGGAAAACGCTGAGCAGGTCTTTGCTGACGGGTTCTAGCAGGAGCGGGGGAAGGAGGAAGGGGTTTTGGGTGTCCTGAGCCAAACTTCAGAAGTCTGGAGCTGGCGTGGGCGGAGCTGCGGGAGAGCGGAGAGAGCGGACAAGAGCCGTGAAGAGAAGTAGCGCAGAGGCCCCTTCTGAGCTTGAAAGGACTTTGGGGCAGCAGTGGTCAAGAGCCAGAGGAAAGCTCCTATCTTAGCCCGTATCTGCTGAATCAGAAAAAAAGGCAAGGAAAGTTTTTAGTGCCCTTGATTCAGAACGCTGGCTGAAAATCAGACCGTGCTTAAAATATGGAGCCATATGCTGATTTTCTTCGGGAGTGAGAGTGTCCTCGGCAGACCTGACACGAGCCTCCTCAGACTGAGTATTCCGGGCTGGAAGTGTGTGAGGACCACCCCGCAGGACTGGCCCCGCCGCCGGGGAGCCAGGGACTCTAGCCCCCATGGGAGCCACAAGGGAAGAGAGTGGCACCCCTAGGGCATCGTAGCCCGTGGTTGGTGGTGGTAGAAGAAATGGGATTACAAGATTTGTTTGCCTTGTCTAAAATTATCCTCTGATTCCAGAGCCTGTGTCAGGAAGGGGAGGACCCGGGAAGGTTCTCCGTCTTGGGCAGGAAGAGCACAGCCAGCTAGGGGGAGAGAGAAGGTGGGGACGGGGGAACGGACGAGGGCACAGAGTCCCTGTGTCCATGTGCCTGGACCGAAGATGGGTGTGTTCTTTCTCACCTGTTGTGGTGTAGGCTTGGTTAAGGGAATAACCTGGCTTCGGGGAATTAAATGCAATGCCAGTGTTGGGCTGTCTCCTGGCCTGGTTTGTTCAGATGGGAATTTAGGAATGCATGGTCTGTATTTTGAAATGGAGTTCTGTAGACACCAGAGGCCCAGGCACCCTCTCCTCCTAGCTGCAGCGCCCTGGTGCTCGGCCCAGCGCTCCCCCATCTGTAAAATCCAGATGCGGGATGACACCTGCCTTAGGATGACTTCTGACTCTGAACACTGTGATCTGAGGGTCGAAACTGTCCTCCAAGGACACGTGGCATAGCCTCCGGGGAGGCTCTTGGACTCACAGACGCCTGTTTGGAGACACAGGGCCCCCGTCCGATCCGGAGCTGGGCTCCTTAGGTGAGTTACCAGGCCTGATCTTTCATCTGCACATTGGAGCTGCCCATGGGCACTGATGTGGGGCTCCCTGCCCTGGGTGCAGACCCAGCCACCCCCCAGCTTAGCCCATCCTTCTGGCCAGCGAATGACCCTCATCGACTCATCTGGCCTCTGGGATTCTGCCTTCCGACAGATAGTTCAAATCAACTTTTACAAAAGGTGAAAATGTATTAGCATTTTATGTTACAAATGTTACAATGTTACAAACTGTTAAAATGTTACAAATCAGTCACTACCAGTGTCACAATGGATGGCCCCTGGAGTAGATGAAAAACCCCAGGGCGTTTTCTCCCCACTGTGTGTTCCAGAGGGAGGGACGGTCGGAGGGAAGGACGGAGGGACGAGGGCAGGCAGGCACGCACCTGCCGCGTTATCTTCCTGCAACAGAGCGCCCAGCATTCACCCTGTGAGGCTCCACTGTCTCTGTACTTGCCCTGCTCGTCTCCGTACCATCGTACTTTCTCTCCGTTCCCATAGCACTCCTTCCTGGACTTCCCGACCCTGCGCCCTCTTCGTGGGTATCTGCTTTGCTGGCGCCATCGAGGGTGGGCCCTGGGCCCCTCTCTTCTCCCTGTATTCACCTGAAAGGGATTCCTTCGGTGCCACATCATCGTTTCCCATCCTCCCATAGTGACTCTCGAGTGGGCCTGGCTGGACAGGAGTTCAGATTCCAGAACTCGTGGCCTTTGTAAATCCCCTTTGGACTCGTAAATCACACCTGGCTCTCCCCAAAGCTCGGATCTCTGACAGATGATCTCTGCTGAAGACACCAAGGCCGCCAAGATAACCTCTGTCCCCCGGCTCCTGCTCCTTCCTATCCACAGCTCCTGCCTCCGCGGCTGCCATCTGGTCCGTCCAGTGAGGCAGCTTCTGTGCGCGGCCCGCCCGCCCTCAGACTCATCCCCTACTGCTCCTGGCCCTTAGCTGACTTCAGCTTCCCAGGGACGCTCCCTTGATAGTCACCCCTCACTCCAGGTCAGGACTCTCCTAGCCCCGCCCCATCCCTTCCACTCCTCGCTCCACCCCGCCCCTAGCTCCGCCCCATTCCATCCGCTCCTAGCTCCACCCCGCCCCTAGCTCCGCCCCACCCCATACTCTCCTAGCTCCGCCCCCATCGCGTACACTACTAGCGGGTGCAGGATAGGTCCGCTCAAAACCGTTCCTTGCCCTGGTGAGGTGGCGGGAGTTATTTGGGGGTAACTTGCGGACTGAGCGCCTAGCGGGCATGTACAGGTGGCATCGCTCTTCCTCAGGTTCAGACCCCTGCTGGGAGGCTCAGGTGTGCGCTCTGTGTTCTTGGCTGTTCATTTTTCCCACAAATATTTCCTGGGTTTCTCCTATGGGCTAGGTGTTAGAACTGTAAGGTGGGCAGACAATCTATCTCTGTCCTTCAAGGACTCAGATCTCCGTGCAGGAAAGAGAAGGTAAGCAGTTACACTCGCAAATGTCAAATTACAGCTGTTATAGGAAGAAGGACCACGGGGAAGAGCTACATGGTGGGACATCAGCAGGGTGGGGAGGGCTTCCCAGAAGGTGGTGTCTGAGCTGATGTCCGGAGGAGGAGAAAGATATTCTGGGACTGTAGGGACCTCCCCACCCCCCCCACCCCCCCACCCCCGCCCCCCCCCCCCCCCCCCCACCCCCCCCCACCCCCCGCCAGGGGGGTAGTGGGAAGACTCTACACCAGGGGGCAGAGTGCTGTGCTCAAAATTCAGAGGAGAGGTGATGCCCAAAGCAGTCTAAAGGGCCACATGTGGGATGTAGCCTCTCTTCTAAAGGGCCATTGCCCACTACTGAGACCTGGGGCAGGTGGCTTCCCCTCTGTGTGCTCTTGTTTCCTCATCTCTAACGTGGGGCGCGGGGGTGCTGCTACTGTGCCCATGGGGGTTTGCGAGAATTAAAGTAATCAGTGCTGCAGAGGGCTGGCTGCTGAGTCCGACACCAGTCAGTACTCTGCGTGCCTGGGTGATCTTGACAGCCGTGAATTTGTCATCACCGGTCCCCTTTCAGAGGACTGCTGTCTCCGCCACGCCGTCCAAGAGAAACATGGTTTACCACCGCGGGCATCTGGCGAGGTGTCGAGGGGAGCTGGGAGCTGCTTCCTGTTGATGTGCCAGAGTAGTCCTGCTTTCTCACGTGATCTCGTTCTGTCCAGATTCCAGAATTCTCTGATGGTTTCTGGACCGGGTCCCAGCTGGCTTGCTGGACCAATTCGGAGACACCGTGGTCTTACTTCCCAAAAATCTCCATCTACCTGAGAGACGAGAATTCCAGCCAGTCGTTCCGTGTAACCATCCTGCCTCAGGTATGAGCGGGGACCTGGGCTGTTCTCCCTGAACAGGTGACCCGCCCACGTGCGGCAGTTCTCGCGTCAGGTAGCGTATCTGTGCTAGGCTTGGAGTGTCACGAGGATGCTGTTACCCTCCGCGAAACCGGGCGGCCCTCGTCAATGGGCGTGGGCCCCTGCTCGGGAGTCCCGGCAGGCCTGCTGCCCTCAACACGCTCGTGGACACATCGGGACACCAGCCCTGTTTGTGGCCTCCCTCGTGAATCTGGTGGCTCGCTGGTGGAGCAATGGGGCTCGAGACTCCCACCATCCCGCAGCTGCCTCGTGGTGGTGGTGGGGCTCTGGGGGGGCGACGCACCCAGGGGGCCCAGAGCAGGCCCACCACCGTCTGCCTACTCCTTCACAGTGCTGCGCCCTCAGGGCCGAGGCAGCCCAGACCCCCTGGGCTGGGGAAGTGGAAGGCCGAGAATGGAGGACACTGGTGCAGTGTCTACCACAGCACCAAATATGTTCTTTTCTTTTATGTATTTATTTGTCTTTAAAGATTTTATTCATTTATGCAAGAGCAAGAGTGAAAGAGGACAAGCAGGGGGAGCAGGACGGAGAGGGAGAAGCACACCCTGGTGGGCAGGGAGCCTGATATGGGGCTCGATCCCAGGATCCTGGGACCATGACCCGAGCTGAAGGCAGACACCTAACCGACTGAGCCACTGAGATGCCCCCAAGATATGTTTTTTTGTTTTTTTAAAAAAGATTTTATTTATTTATTTGACAGAGAGATCACAACTAGGCAGAGAGGCAGGCAGAGAGAGAGGGGGAAGCAGGCTCCCCACTGAGCAGAGAGCCCGACACGGGGCTCGATCCCAGGACCCTGGGATCATGACCTGAGCCGAAGGCAGAGGCTTAACCCACTGAACCACCCAGGTGCCCCTAAAATATGTTTTTTTTTAAAGGAGAATAAAACTTGATGCTTGAGAGATGAAGACAGCCTTCTGTTTTCCATATTCAAGAGGTCATTGGCTCCTTCCTCTCCTTCCTCCTCCTATGCATCTAATCAAACACAGCGTGCTCTGCCCTGCTCAGTCATGCTTCTCACCTCCTGGTTCCCGAGGCTTGCACTCAGGTCCCCCTCTGTCCCCCTCTGGGGACCTCCACACATACTCTGTATGCCCAGTCCCCTCCTTTCTGCCCTTAACGCCCTCACAAAGTGATCTTCCTAGGAGGCAGCTTTCGGCCCGCTGTCCCTGCTGTGAGCCATCAGTGAGTCCCCACCCTGTGGACATTGATGTTCTCATTTCCTGTGGCTCTCCGGGCCTCCCTCTACCCTTCGATGCCCTTGAGCTGCCACTCACCAGTCGGCGTCCTCCCAGGCTTCATGCTCGCTCTCCTGACCTTTCCTTCTGCCACCCCCACCCCCGCCCGAAATGCCCTCACCTCCCCCACTCCCTCTGCATATCCAGATTCTTCCCATCCTTCAAGGTCCAACTCAGACAACCCTCTTTTGTTGAACCTCTGCTGAGCAAAATAACCCGTTTGTGAGCCTCCCTTCTGACTCATAACGCAGGCTTCCGAGTCTGCCCCTCCGGCATGCAGTCATCCCTTTAGGGGGTATTTTATGCTGTGCCCTTTGCGTTTGAGCTCTCTTTTCTTTAAAAGTACATGCTAGGCTTCTAGTTCTTCCTCAGTTACATTAATTCCTTGACGAGGAGAACCGTGAGATTGGAGGTCCTTGCTCCTTCCCTGGTGTGAGCGTGCAGTGGGGACTAGTGTGTAATCACAGGTGTTTTGGAACAGACAGATCGATGTGCCTTTGTCGTGATTTGGTGACTTTGGGATAAAGGGTGGGATTGGGGGCTAGGGAAGGAGGAAATGATTTCAGAAGTAAAACAAGTGAGAGTACTGCTGTTTCCCTTCTCAACTTGTCCGTGAGGACATGCCTTCCAGGAATGGCGGGTTACTGGGGACGGGCTTGAGAGCCTCAACAGAGACCCCGGGATGGAGGACACAGTCACTGAGGCCTGAGCTACGTGCTCAGCTCCGCCCCGACTCACACTGTAACGCTGAGCAGATCACTGAGCCCTTTCTCCGTCTGTCTCTTTAACGCTAAAGGGAGAAATCATAATACTTGCCAAAGACATTTTCACTGCATACAGTGATGCTTTCTCCATCTTTAAAATAATTGCTTTTTATGGTTAAATTTTGGTCCATCAAGCAGCACAATGTGGATGTCAGGGTGGTCTGTAACTAAAGTCAAAGCTTTAGGACAGAGGTGAGCGTGTAATCAGGAATGGATGGCAGGGGAGTGGGTTGGCAGAATCAGGGACTCGTAAGATACAGGAGAAAACAGGCATTTGGGGGAAAAATCTGTGATGTCCAGAGTGGGCAGTAGCCTGCAGAGCTGGAAAATCCCTGGGGCTCAATGGCTGGTTCCAGGACCTGGCACGGGCCGAGTGCGAGAACATAATGAGGGAGGCTGGGAGCGTTGCCTTTAATTTTTGTTATCTCTGCGTGAGAATTCAGTAGTATTCTCACGAGACTAGATGTTTTTTGGGTTGATTTGGATATGTTCACATTTTTGGTTTCCAAAAATCTGCTTCCCCTGCTGTTTTCCCGATTTCTTCCACAACATTCCCATTCCATTCTCTTTCTGTCACCTCTTCGGAGAAGGGCTTGAACGGGCAGTTGTGACCCATCCCGTGCTGATTACTTCCCATGCTCTGTGTGGCACTGACACAGCCCTCGCGGTCAGTGCTGGGCGGGGTGGGGGGGCACCTCCCAACACTACAACTCTGTCTGCCTGCCTCCCTCTCCCTAACTTTTAAGGCAATTATCAGGGCTCCTTCCCACCAAGGTTTTAGAATACGCCCCATGCCTGGGACCTTTCTGGCATCGGCAGTCCTGGACGGGCATATGCTTGCTAGCGCAGGAAGGAGCTGTGTCAAAGGCAATTGTCTGAAATTATGTCTGTCTCCAGTCTTTCCCCAAAACACACGGGCTGCTTCTTTTTTGGCCTGTTGACAAAAGCAGCCCCCAACCCCAGCCCACGGGCAAATTCTGGTTTTCTTTTCCACATACCCCTAAAAATGTAAATAATTTCAGTCTACCACTGGTTGGTCTATTTGTGCTATTTTAGCTGAAGACAGACAGTTTATTCTGAGCTCTAGCCATCCTTCAGCTTTCCCCAGCTTGTTACAGCATCTACAGTCTGGAACTTCTATTGGCAGTCAGCTGGGACACACATACAGGAGTAAAAGATACACACTCGGTCTGCATATTTTTGCATCAATATCCTCAGTTACATGATAGGTGATAATTGATTGGGTTTTATTATAGAATTGGTTTCTCCGGAAGCCGATTGGGTTTTATTATAGAATTGTGTTTTGTGTGTGTGTGTCCGCGGACATGCCTGGGGCTCGCTTGCAGACCCTTAGGTGACGGTGCCGTGGCAACAGGTCAGGGCATCCCCTGCCTTTGCCTCGTTAGAGCTGATCATGAGAAGTTGCATCTTTCGTTTGATGTTCGTCAAGCTCAGCACCACTCGTGAGCGTCACCTGCATTTAGTGAGGCCCTCCTGGGTGCCTACCGTCCCCTTGAAGCCCAGGCTCCGGGAGCACAGCGGATAACAGAACGACTCCCCGCCTGAAGGGAGGGCTTGCAGACAGACAGCCCAGTTGGGGAGGGTTCTGACTGCGGGTGCAGCTCTTGGACCCAGCAGTGGCCCCAGGTCTAACTGTTGAGGACGCCAGGGGCTGCCACCGTTACGTCCTTGCTCACCCCGCTGCCACACAGCCCCTCCTCCTCTCACCATCCAGACGTTGGCAGGGGCGTTGAAGTTCATCTTCCTCTGGTGTCAGCTTGATTGTACTCTCCTCTAGTGTGACTTCTAGTTTCCTGTCCTGCCCAGACCTTAAATAGTGCTCCTGTGTTCCCACCCTAGGGGGCTGGCTCCCTGTCCCACATCTCTCGTGGTTTGCCTCCAGGCCGCACCCCTCCCTTGTCACCTGATGCAGCCCCTTCCTGCCGAACCCTCTAAAAATCCCCTCCCCTCACACCCCCTCCAGCGGCAAGGCCCCAGGCTCCCAGCCTTTCCCACCTCAATCTTTCTTCCTGCTTTTACCCCTTGAGGGCTGGTCCGTACTCACAAGGAAGCCCTTCTTCCTACTCATCTTGCCCTTTATTGCCTTTATCCGCAGACATTTGGTATTTTATCTTGCTAAGCCACTCTCTTCTCTTGGTTGCCTGCATTTGCATACTTTGCTGTTAAAACACGGAGGGATTGTTCTCCCTGAGTGACATTGGCTTGCTCCCTGATTAAGTTTTGACTCATTTCCTCACACTCGGCCCCCAGAGGACTTCAGGGCCACGAGCTGTGTTGATGGAACACGCACAGCCCGTGGTCCTCACCCTCGCGGGAGCTTCCTACAAGAGGGTGCTGGGTCTTCTGTCTGTGGCAGCTTCTCTCTCACCGACGGAGGAAGTAAATCATCTTGCTTCCACCCTGCTGCCTACTTGTAAGCTCTCTTTGGCGGAGGATGACAAAGACGGCATCCTGGGGCCCGTTAGGAGCCACAACCATATCTCAGGAGAACAGAAGATGCTAATGGTCTGGACCGGGGTGGTAGCCATGGGGATGGGAGGTGTGAGGGGGTTCGGACGCCATTTCAAAGGAAGACCTGCAGCCTCTGGGTATGGTTTCCACGTAAGCAAAGAGATCCTGGCCGGGTGCTATAGGGCCTGAGGAAATGAGTGAATCACAGATTTACTGAAACAGAAGACCTTGAGGAAAACAGATTTGGGGAGAATGTCCTGAGTCCGGTTTCTCTGATATTACATTTGAGATGCCTGTTGAGTATGGCCGTGGCAGCAAAGATCTATTGGAGGTCAGGATTTGGGCATCAGCATAGAGCCCCGGGGTATGCTTAGGATCATGGGGCCACATGGGTCACCTGGGGTGGAGTGGGGTGGGGGGCGTGTCCGCCAGAGGCCAGAGCCCTGGCATTCTCTGACGCTTACAGGGGATGAAGGTAGAGTGGACTCTACACAGGCGCCTGAGAATGAGCAGCCGGTGTTGGGAGGAAGAGGAGACCGCCCTTTCTCAAAGGCCACGGGAAGGAGGAGTTTGAGGGGAAGAGTTCGCTGGTTCCATGACCGTAGAAGGGGCCTGTCCCACTCCACTTCATTTACCTGCTCCCTCGCCAGATGGGAAGCCTCGAGGGCAGAGGGACTGTGTGTTTGTTGCTGATACTGGGACAGTATTTAGGCCATGCCGAGTGATGGATGGACTTATGGACAGATGGGCAGACGGACGTATGGACAGATGGATGGATGGACGGATGGATGGATGGACGGATGGATGGACAGATAGATGGATGGATGGATGGACAGATGGACGGATAGATGGATGGACAGATGGATGGACGGATGGATGGACATCTGTTTGGGTACATCTGTGTGGGTGCATCTGGGCGTGGTTACGGGAGGCGCACTTTCAGTCGTGTTTATCACCGTGCTTGTGATGTCGTTTTCCGGATGGCAGGGTGATGTCATCTCCTTCTCGCCCTGCATCACCCCATGGCTCCTGGGAGGGTTGGAACACACTGTGGCCTTGAGAGCTTTGTGAGGTTGCCGGGTTCATGCTTTTCCCTGTCTGTCTGCCTGCTCTCTCCTCGTAAACAGCTCTACATCCAGCCCATGATGGGGGCCGGCCTGAATTACGAATGCTACCGATTTGGCATTTCACCTTCCACAAATGCGCTGGTGATTGGTGCGACCGTGATGGAGGGCTTCTACGTGATCTTTGACAGAGCTCGGAAGAGAGTGGGCTTTGCAGCCAGCCCCTGTGCAGGTAAGCGATGCTCGCGCTGGACGGGCAACCCCCGGCCAGAGTACTTGGCATCCGTTCATGAACTTGGAAGCAACTCTTGAGGATGGGTCAGTTGCCTTTGAATTCTTTCCCACAGGCCTGTCATCCACAGCCAGTCTTAGCAGTAAGACGCTCGGCAAGATGTAGAAAAGAGGAAGTGAGGCCGTCCTATAAAATGTTTAATCCCATGCTTGACACAAAACAGATGCGTGATTGACATTAGTATTATAGTTACGTCTCACATTAAATTTAGAATGGTATCTCACACCACAGAATAAAGATAGGGGACCTTGGGGAAAAATTACAGTTTTTTGACAGGAGAATTAAAGATTCATGGGTAAGCTGTGTATTTTTTTTTCCGTCAAAGCAATCTTCGTTGTGCAAAAAGAAGTAAATGCCTGTCATTGCTATTTCTTGAAATCCTAAAATGAGGAGATCAAGGAGCGTGTTTTTCTCCTAGAACCCCCTTGAAGAGCTGGTTTGGGGGTGAGTCGGCAATGTTGTACTGTGAAGCTGAGCTTGAAGGTTGGGCCGGTGTTCAGGGAAACCACAGGCGAGAGGGCAGGAAAGGTGATGGGTGGGTAAGACCCCCAGACTGGAAGATGTCTGTAGACGAGCAGTTGGCTGGGATGGGGTGTCCACCTAGAGCACGGCTTAGCGGGAGGGTCAGGTACTTGGCAGAAAAGGCCAGTCGTGGACATGGGCCTGAGCCAGGATTGCTGGGGATGCGTGGAAAGTGCATGTGTGACCAGGCAGCACGCGGGCGCTGCCAGGCTCCTGGGCGGGATTTCAGGACTGACCGGTCCTGGCACGTGGGGTTCAGAGTTGGCAGGTAACATGCCAACGAAGAGAAAAGTTAAGCACATGTGAGGCAGAGAGGACATGGGACGGGAGGAAATGAGAGGCTGTGGAGTGAGACTTGGGTCCCCCACACAGTATAGGGAGGGAGGCGTGAATGTAATGAAACACTTGGGATAGTGGCCCACGGGCAGGATACTGGCTGTGCCGGTCACCCCGAAATTCACTGGGATCAAAAACCCACGGAGGAGTCTGGGGGAGAGCTATGGAGATGGGGAGGGGGTGCAGGCAAAACGTCAGATGATCTCAGCTGATTTATTCCAAAGGGGGACATTTCAGCTCTTATTTACTATCCGACTCGCAGAGGTAAAGTCGGTATCCTGGTGGATAAAGCAGGTCAGTTATGCTACCCATCCTTGTTTGGACACAGGGGCATTCCCGGCAGATGAGATAACAGTTTGGGGAGTGGGAGGAGAGGCATATCAGGGCAAAAACTTACATCGGGAACATTAGTCCAGCTCACGTGGTGTATAAACAAAACCACCCAACGCCACGTACACACTTGATTGTTGCAAATGCCTTCTTCAGCGTTCACACGCAGCGCTCTGACTCTGCCCTAGGGACCGGGCTCCGAATCCCCGGGGCTTGTCATTTTGTCATCTTCATGGGGCGTGAATGTTTACCTCTCAGAGTGCATTAACTGGTTCTAGCCTGGGAGGTATCCCTGGGGGAGACCTTCCTCTGTGGCACTGCCTGGGACTTCACGATTGGAGATGCTACTGGTCTCCCAGCTGTGAGTGTTTCACGTCTCATAACCCAGGGAACTAAGCACTAAAGCAATTTTCCCCACAATTTCTGTTCTCTTGTTAAATACCATTAAAATAGAGGCTACTATGGCAACAGCCGTATCGTCCACTTTACTTAATACCGCAGAGTGCGTAATCACCACGTCTCCTAAGTGAATTGCTGTTGGAAATAGTTTAATATTAAGTGTCTGCAGGCAAAGCAGCCTTCATTCCTGCCTTCCAACATGAATTCTTTGTTAGGTGTGCATATAGAAGTTTGGGTTTTGTTTTGGTTTTTTTGTTGTTGTTGTTACTATTTTTAAAAAGGCGTATTTAAGGTTTTGGTACTTAAACATTTGATTTTCTCAGCAGTGGGAATATACACAGGTAGGTTTCTTCCGTGCAAACTGTTTAGCCATTAAAGTAATTACTTCCCTAAAAGGCACAATTAGGAGCCAGACAGTGGTCTGTAGCGCTGTAATAAATGGAAGAGGTACGCTGCCTTTTTTTTTCTCTTTAAAAGTGTTTATTTTTAATTTATCACATGCTTTAAATAACAAAATGATTTAAGTCCTAGGAAATCATGTGCTCTGGGCACACTTACGGAACACCCAGATTTAACAAATGCTAACGTTTTGTCATATTTGCTTCAAAAATTTGTCATAGAAGCAGAAAATAAATGTAGCTTAAAGCCCCACTGCACCGCGTTCCCCAGAATGACCCTTTATCCTCAGACTGGTGTAGATTCTTCTCTAATTACTACGCACTTAAGATTTCGCTACATAGTTATCAGTGCCTTGCATTAGCTGTCTCTTGCTTGGTAACAGTTTAGCCCCACGGTTCGCCGCCCTGTCTGACTTGGCAGGTGCTGAGGGTCAGCAATGGGGGAGCGGCTTAGCTGGATGGTTCTGGGTCCTACTGGAAGCTCACTCATGGGGTCGGAGAGAGGAGCGCTCCTTTCCTCGCCATTGGGACCTCCTGCCAGGCTTCCCTGACCATTCTTTGGGCACCTGGTCACCCCAGAGCAAGTGATTCCAGAAAGTAAAAGTGCCACAGAGTACCCAGGCTGGTCTTTTTACACCCAGTTTTGAAACTGACATGCGGTCACTTCTGCCCTATTCTGTTGGCTACTCAGGACAGCCCCGGCCCAGCGTGGGAGGGGGTTACACAAAAGCAAATACCAGGGAGCCGGGATCATTGGAGTCCCCTTAGAAGCTGTCTGCCGGCTACCTCTAAATAAGTACCATGTAACAAAATGTTGGTTGGTCGGTTGTGGGTTTGGGTATTTTCACGTGTGCGTGAATGCTCTGTAGTACCGTGCGCACCCTTCTTCTGCCTGCCTGATTGCTCACCACTACAGGTTTACTGGGTCTTCCCTGTTGATGGGAGTCCTAGGTCACTCATTTTGACCGCTGTGTAGTATCCTATCGTATGACTATACCCAGAGGATGTGCCCAGTTCTGGCCTGATTACCACTTGGAATGTTTCTGATATTTGCAGTTATAAAGAGTACAGCGGTGGACATCTTTCTGCATGCTATCGAGATCTTCTGAAAATGGAAGTTCTAGGGGGTTTGGTATGCTCGTCTGCAGTGTTACTGGCCGCGTCAGATTTGCCTTCCAAGCAGCTGGACCGTGATAATTACATCAGACTGTGCCTTTGTTTTCTTTTGTTGTTGTTTTTTGCCACTCTGTGTGAAATAGTGTCACAGTTTGATTACTTCTAAGATGATGCAACTTTTTTTTTTTTTTAAGATTTATTTGGGAGTGGGGGGAAGGGCAGAAGGAGAAGGAGAGGGAGAGGGAGAATCTCAAGCAGACTCCCCACTGAGTGCAGAGCCTGTCTCCTGGCTCGATCCTCAGACCCTGAGATCATGACCTGAGCTGAAACCAAGAGCCGGACACTCAACCAACTGAGCCATCCAGGTGTCCCGAGATGATGCAACTTTTGATATATTTATGGAGTGTCTGAGCTTTTTCTCTGATGGTGATTTTTTCTACCAATACCTTATGCACAGTTTTCTAGCTATCTTTTTAATTGATGTGTATACATTCTTAATATCTGATCCATTCATTTGGGGGCCTTATGCATGGTGGATAAGATCTGCAAATCTTTCTGGATTTCTTCTACTTATTTTTCTTATCTTTCTTTTACTTTTTTTTAAATTTAGTGAGATGAAATGTACCAATGTCTTCCTGCCAATGTCTTCATGCCACCTATATGCCCCTCACCATCTAGATCTGATTTGCCATATATCAGTATGTATGTATATGTGTATATGTAGTTTTTGTTTGAGCCATTTTCAAATGGGTTGCATTTATCATGATATTTTCCTCCTGAATATTTCACTCTATGATATTTCATCCATAAAGACCTCTTAAAAATAAGGGCAGGTTCATACATAAATGTAATACCATTATGACACCCCAAAATTAACAGTATTTACATTGTATTATGTAATATTTAGGCTGTTTTCAGATTTTCTCAGTTACCTCAAAAATGGTATCCTTGGGGCTCCTGGGTGGCTCAGTGGGTTAAAGCCTCTGCCTTCAGCTCAGATCATGAACCCAGAGTCCTGGGATCAAGCCCCACATTAGGATCTCTGCTCAGCGGGGAGCCTGCTTCCCTTCCTCTCTCTCTGTCTGCCTCTCTGCCTACTTGTGATCTCTGTCTGTCAAATAAATAAATAAAATCTTAAAAAAGAGAATATTAATTTAAAAAATGGTATCCTTGGCTATGATTTTATTTTTCTTTTGATGGCCATTTGTTTTGTAGAATATGTCATATTCAGATTGGTCTGGATTTTTCCTAATAGTAGCATTTAACATGTTTATTTAACCTTACATTTCTGTAAACTTGAACTTAGGTCTAGAAGCTTGGATAGATTCAGGTTAAATTAATTTTGCAAGATACCTACTAAATTTGGGGCGCCTGTGTTGTTCAGTCAATTAAGCATCTGCCTTCAGCTCATGTCATAATCTCAGGGTCCTGGGATCGAGTTCCACATCAGGCTCCCTGCTGAGTGGGGAGCCTGCTTCTCCCTCTGCCTGCTACTCCCCTTGCTTGTATGCTCTCTGTCTGTATCAAATAAATAAAAATAACTCTTTAAAAAAAAATGAAGATACCTGCTAAGTTGTAATAACCTCTTTGTCGTATACCACAGTATGTGTCTGGATCTGTTACTTCTGAGTGTTCTCTTCCATCCCACCAGCGAAGTTGCTGTCCCATTAAACACACGGTTTAATGTCTGTAGTTCCAATAAGACTTAATGTCCAGCAAGGGCTCTGCTCTTCTCCTTATTCTTCAGATGCTCTTGGCTACTTTTGTCCTTCTATTCAACTTGTCAAGATCTCAGAACTCTAACGGGGTTTTGATTACAACTGCACTGGATTTGCAGGT